GATGTGTTTAAAAACCATTTTGGATGTGGTGCTCAGGAACATGATTGAGCAGAGGGTTGTCAGAGTTAGGGTAGTAGGGTTAGGTTGTTGTTGTTGGACTCTATGATCTTTAAGGTCTTTTCCAACCTGAGTGATTCTATGATTCTATGATTCTAACTGTGCTGCTTAGATCCACTAAGTATTTAAATGGTTAGTTGAAATTAAAGATAGGAAAGACTATACATGCTTTATAGTTCAAGAGGATCCTTCTGTTCATTTTTTAATTCTGCATCCATTCTAGTTTCAGTATCTGTCATTATGAATGTTCTGACGAGGTCTGGCAAGTAAGAGGGAAAAGGTATTAACTACTAATATCTAATACTAAACAACTAATCTTAATCTTGCTTGGGAGATAGAGCAGAGAGCTTCTTAAAGGATCGCCTGTGTTTGCAACAGAGCAATCTCACAACACTGTGGTGATTGAAAGAAACTGGTGCAGGTCAGCACCAAGCTGAGCTCTGTGTCCTTCATCTCAGGGACCACTTTAGGACCAAAGCAACCAGGATTCATTCATCTCAAGTCAGGACGATGAGTTCAACTATTCATCCTTAAACTTCAATATCTCATCTAAGCATATATGTAATAAAATGTCCTTGCTCCTACTTTATGTTTCTCAAATTTGCAAATCATTCCCTTTTATTCCTTTCCAAACCCTTTTTAAGCAGGAAATAAACGTGCTTATAAGTTGTTTATACAGCTCTGGTTCTGCTCTCGATATACAGCATTTTGAAATTGACATTGTTAAAGCAACACAGCCCCCTAGTGTGGACACATTTTAAAAGCTTTATTTCCATCCAACCATGAAACATTATCCACACTGCACATGGTAACAAATGCAATTACTCTGTTTAAAAACACATGAATAATCAGTAAGTAGTGCATAGACTGGGAAGTTCAATAGACAAAATAATCTAAATTTGAAGTGGTTTTGCTACCGTTCTCAAGTGAATATATCACTCCAACAAGACAGTATTAAACTGTGGACTTTTATTTCTGATGCCTCAGATTTCAAGGAGTGGAAGAAGCTAGACTAGTTATCACCCTATCGTGAGGCAACCTAATGCCATTCTCAGCAGTTAGGTTTTCACACAGGCTGTTGAAACCCCAGATCCCAAGCCCACACAGCACACAAGCCCACACAGCACCAGGGCTGATTATGCAGCCCTGATTCTGCTTCCGCATTCAAGCCTATCATTTCTTTGTGCCAACGTAGCAAAGTGGATTAAGGTGTTGACCCTGGTGGGGGGAGCAGTAAGAAAATAGTTAGGTCTGCTTTCTGATGTGGTTTCCATTTAAACACTAGGGGCATAATAATGCTATGGGAGGGAGGAGATGGAGCAATCTAACTAAAATACCTTCATAGGCACATTATAAGCATTTGTTCTTCACCGACTTCACATTCAGATTAAACACACTCCCAGTGTTCTACTTCTTCCTGTGTTCTTAGACAGGAAATACATTCCCTCAACACTTCAATATTTATTTTATTGAGCTATCTTTGGTGGTCACGTGTCACGTCCTGTGTTCCTCCAGTGACCTTAGAAGTCTTTGCATTTGTTCCAATGGATACATCTTCAACACAGACATGCAAAACTGCACCAGTTGTATGCAGCGGGTCAGGGGAGTAAAGCTGGGATTTGACAGATACAGACTGATTGACTCAAATCACAAAATGGAAGGTGGGATGGAAGATCATAGATTCAAGAACAGTTTTGCAGTCATGAGATACAGAATGAAAAAAAAAAAAAAAACAACTCGTATTTGAGTCTGGCAGCAATCAAGACAGATCCCATGGGAAAGGATTAAATTTTTCAACAGTTAAAAAGTGATGGTGCACTGTGTTAACGTGCATTTTTAAATAGAGATGATTACTTATGCTCTGCGATTTGATAACATTGTAATATTTATAGTTCTGTTTTCCCTACAGTTTGATTAACTGGTGGAAGACATCTCAGCCTTTACTGACCTCAGATTTTTCTAAGCCTCTTCTATATCTTGTTAACATATTTTAATGTTAATGGCAAAAAGAGGACCAGAAAACAAACAAACCTAAGAAAACAAACCTGCAGCATTTTTACATTTTAGCATTTTCGTCATAAAGAAGGTAAACATTTTTATCACCATGTCTTGCAGATTGATTTTGCAATAAGCATTAAGTGTTATATTACTGGGACTCAATGGGAGGACTTCATAATCAGTTTTTAATTTGGTGTTCATGCTGTGTTTGTGATGTTGCTGCATGAATTAACCACTTCACCTCCCTTCCTTAGTAAGGAATGGGTTTCTCAATTCATTTTAAGTACCTCCTGTGTAAGGGGCATGTCAACCTTCTTCAATGATCCTATAAAGCTGTATCAGTACTTATAAATTTAAGGCGTATAAAATGCTATATAACAACTTTGCATGTATTCATGGGCACAAAAGTTTTCTTCATTACCTATTTTACAGAAAACCCCCTGTGAGTTTTATCCGCAGATGAAAATGAAGTGCTTTTAGTTAAGAAAACCTCTTTTGTAGACTACCATTAAAGACTAATGCTAATGAACAAGTGGGCGCCCCATCCCTGGAGGTGCTCAGGGCCAGGTTGGATGGGGCTGTGGGCAGACCTAGTGGATGGCAGCCAGTCCACAGCAGGGGTTGGAGCTGAGTGAGCTTTAGGGACTCTTCTAAACCAAGCCATCCTAAGGTTCTCTGATCTTTGTAGCTCTGACTGTATAAGGACCCAGCTTGCTAGCAGATATTCTGTCCCATTGGAGGGTTCTCAGATGGTTGCTGCTCCTTCTCAAACCACATTCCTGCGATTACAGACAAGGCTGGTGATCACAGCAGCGAGATGAGATTCACAGCACAGTTCTACACTGCTCGTGTTTAAGACAGTAATTGAACTGTTGGAACGAGAACATCTTAAATCATCTACACTCTTGATCTGACATCCTATGAGATACCCTTTTATCTGCTTAGAAGTAACTTGAACTCAGCGATCAAAGCCTTTGTTCACTGTGATTAATAATTATAACCACTTTAAACAGAAAAATTAAAAAAAAAAAATTATGGCAGAGTCTTAAAAAAAAATGTGCAAGGCTCTCAGTGGGTCAGGCAAAACATTTTCCTGAGAGAGCAAATATTGTAATGAAAAGTGTTACCAACTCTACTAAATTTTCCTCAAGAGAGTGATTTGTCAGTGATTTGTCACTCCATGCTGGCACCTGGAAGTCTAGTTATTATAGAAGCATATACACAGTGAAAGAAAGTTTGGCATTCTGGGGAGTCACACCAAATAGAAATACAATCAGCCCTTCTCCCCAGAAACACACAGAGCTTCCTTTTATAGAACAGACAAAACCAGATACAAACCATTTCTGTTCCAGTGCAGAATAAAATCTTTCTCCTTATGCTGACCAGCGTAAGTGTACAACCAACCAATTGCCAACCAAGTGGTTGATCCTGTAAGATTAAGAATTCATACATAATTCACAACTGCATACTTTACATACAAATTGCCTTTTCCTCCAAGTGATGCATTAATCTAAAGGAAATAAAAAAATTAAGAGGGATACGTAGCAGTGAGCATCAAAGAGTGGCATATTGTTTTTGATACACCAGCTTTCTTACTGTTACATTTTACTGCAGACTGATCGGTTTGCTGTGCACACAATCGATGCAGGAATCGATGCACCTGGAGTCAGCTGATCTGATTGGCAATCTGAGCAACAACAGTACAAAACCATGAACACAGATTAGCACTTCTGCCATCACTCGTACGAGGTCCTTCTGAAGGCATATACACATGTGTGTTCATATACACACACGTGCAGTTTGCTCCAAAAGTAAAGCCTCCTCTTTATTTCCATAAAAACTACAACTGATACGAAGAGCACAATCAGGCTATTTGATAAAGGAAACTCTCAGCTACAAATCACTCCTTCTCAACACATCATACTGTTACTTCTGCATTTGCACCAGCGATGAACAGAGACTGCATGCCACACTTTTGTAAGGCTGCACCAGTGGATGAGACCCACTGTGATCACTGCTGAAAAGCACCACCCACCACCTCACTGCGCTCACACCCCCTGGTTGGACTCCATAAATATTCACAAGTATCAGTGAATGTCAGTGGGTGTCACTTTCTCCACAGAGGAATTCAGTGACACAGCTTTGCTCCATATACACTTCCATGCCAGATGCCGTGCTGTCAGGCTGCCCCTCTGCTGCCAGCTCAGAAACACGTACCTACAACAAGTTTCCAGCAGACCTATGACTTCATTTATCATTACTTAAAACAGCAGCAAAATTCTAAGAAAGCAGTACTTAGTTCCAAATGGGAATCCATCGTTCTGTGGCAACACTGCATGTCCTTCTGGTGTATGAAAAAGAATTCTAATTAAACTGGATTTATACAGCCTTTCCAAGATGCTCCAAGTTATGCCTTGCTGAGGACTGGATTTAGCATGAAGTACTTACTGCCTAGTGGTTGGTGGGAATACATCAGAGATGCACAGGAATCAAGGAATCACCTTTGTAGGACAAATTGACAAAGAAACCATAGGCATCAAAGGATCACATCCACAAGATTCATACCATAAAAAAATTATTTTCTGTACATAAATACACACAAGTTAATATGATTTTGATTAGCAGCCAAAAAGAAAAATGGCACTACTTCTCAGAGATCAGAATTCTTGAAATTATGTCATGAAATCACAGCAGGAAATTTTATTCTATGGTACAAGTTATTTACAAACAAATTCATTTGAAGTCAAATATAAAGAATTACGATTTCGTATATAACAGTTACAAATAAATGGCTTTTCTAAGAAACAAGTACACAAAAATTAGATTTTCCTGTTTACAGGGAATGTGAAATGGCTGTAACAATTTAGTATCAAAAATAAAGGGTCTTCAAAGTAACCTAATGTACTCTACCAAATATTATGCCAGATATTTTAAAAACAACACTGTCAAGAAAAAGACTCCATTTTCTTTATTTCAGTTATGATACAACACAAAAGTGGAAAAGAGGAACATAATTAAACAACCACCAATATAAAAACCCTGGTATTTGTCACTTACAGGCACTTTCAAAACTCAGAAAATAAGAAAGTTCAACCGTTTATTCCAAAGCAAACAAACAAAAAAAACACAACAACAACACGTTTAGCAAATCAGCTTTCTGAAGCCTAGCCACACTTCTAACCTTCTCAAAATGAATCGCTATTTAATTTAAATAGAACATTTGCATCATCATGACTTGGACCCAAGGAGAAACAAGCACCTCAGATCACAGGGAAGAATGCTGAAGGATGTCACACCACTGCAAAAAGAGTACTTCTAATAAGCAACAGACAAATCAAGTTTCTCAACTAAAAAGATGCAAATAAATAAAGCGGTTATTTTCCAGCCATGAAGATACACAGAACTCACTTCTATTTTGTCCTGAAGGCACCAGGTTCTTCATGGCATAGCTCCATACACACTGTGCCTCCTTGAAGATATAACCATGCACAGAGGCAGCTGGGTGCTCAGGGCAGCATCAAACCAACTCACTTGTGCTGCAGTTCATCTGTGCTGGGCATGAAGCAGCACACCAAAGGCAATGGAAGCAGTGAACAGTATCATAAATGTCTGAATAAGGAATGTCATACCCCAGCCCAAATGCACTTATGCGCCGAAGAGAACAGAGCATTGGAAGGTAAAAGGGCCCACTGGAAAGTAAGAGTTGGTTGATACTCAAGCACCACTTCCTCCAACCTCAATATGAGTGCATCTGCAAGAGCAAGAAATCAGACAAAGGTGGCAGAAGGCCTGCATGAATTAGCTAGGAGCTTATGGAAAAACTCAAGATAAAAAAAAAAAAAAAAAGGTAGTGGAGTCTCTTTCTCTGAAGATATTCAAAATACTCCTGAAGACTTGGCTGTGCAACCAACTGCAGGGAATCTGCTTTAGCAGGGGGTTGGGTTCATTCCAACCCCTACAACTACGTGAATAAACACAACATCTTTCAAAAGATACTGAGAATTTATTGTAAACAATCTTAGTGCTGTTTTTTTTACATCACCAGCCTTCATTAGAGCCTTAATAGCTCTGGCTCTCATTTCAAGCTCAAGGAGCTCTAGCTGCTGTGCTGATGGCTGAACATCTTCTAATGGAGGAACAGCTAAGCTTGCTGCTTTAGACTCCTTTGGGCAAGACTCTGCCAACCCCAGTATCTCATTCACACTTTTCTCAATGTCCTTCTGAAGGTCATCAATCTGACCAGCTCCACTCCTGACAGTGTCTTCCTGCACATCTGGGCTGCCTTCTTCATCACATGGACCCTCTATGTCACTATCATACGCATCTGCATTTATGCTGAGGACATCACTATCTTCTCCTTTACCTGCAACACAAATGCAACAATTGCAGTCAGACAGCCAGCAGCGATTTTTCTTTCCCCATTAAAAAAAAATCAGTTCTGCTCAAAACACTCTTCATGGAGTGTATAAAGGGCAGCAAAAAAATCTACGAATTTGAGACAACTAATTCCCTTTGTTTTTCTTACTCATCTTTAAAAGCTGCTCTAGTTTAGACAGGTGTAAATGCATTTTTATGCCAATAAAAGAACGTACAGTATAGCAAAGCTGCACTACTAGGGAAACATATTCCTTCATATGGATGAATTTTACCAATTAAAATGCCATAAGGTTTTATAATCACAACGAAGCAGAACTGATTATTGTTTGTTATCTTTAAAGTAAGCTTAGTTTTCAAAATGCAGTTTTAAAAATAACATTTAAGAACTATTTTATTTAGTTTAAAAGGAATTAGGCACTATGTCAAGAAAAGTACTGAAAGTTCATAGAAACTCCTACTACAGCATATAAATTCAAAATCTACCACAAAAGTATTTCAAACATACTTAACTTACATCAGTAAAAAACATAGGAAGAGCTATGGTATTCACTTTTAATGTCAGCTAAAAGACATAGCTCATTAAGAAAATGAATTAGAAGAGGCAGCACAATAAATTAAAAGATAAAATAAAAGCCAAACTCAGAGTGTAAATGATCTCAGAATTTGGCTATAGAAAAACTATTGCTTCTGATACTTTGGTCTCAGAAATCATTAGTCTGATGCCAACATTTGTATCTTTGCAAAACTACCATTCACTGCTTCAAATAAAAAACATATAGCCAGATGATCATTATTACTGATTCTAAAGGCTTTTTAATTGCACAAGGCACAGCTATGTTCCCTCTTAATGAATAATGGGGATTTAGCCTCAGTGTTTTTGAAATATATATAATTTACCATGAATGTTCTAAAAAAGTTTTCATTCCTGTATAAACTACTGTAATCTATAATGACTTATATGTAGCAAAAAATTGCTTATTAAGTATTTAGACAGTATTGCAAACCTGGTTGTAAAAATTTCTCAGCTCAGTAGAGCACACTAATGACAACATTAACAGCAAAGGGCAAATAGTAAAACACATGAAATTCCACATGAACACAAAAAAGCATTATTTTATATATATTTTTTTAACATGAGGGTAGCTAAACACTGGCACAGGTTGCCTGAAATAGTCATGAAGTCTCCTTCCATGGACATATTCAAAGCCCACCTGCATACAATCCTGGGCAATCTGCTCTGGCAGCAGGAGGATTGGGTGCAGGTGACTTCAAAAGGTCGCTTCTCTCAACCACTCAGTGACTCTGTGATCATTAAAACTAATGTCTGCACATCTGGTTTTAAACGGTTGTTTTTCACCTAACTTTTAGTTTGGAGGAGAGCTGGTGGTTGGGGTTGCTAGTTTAATCCATCTGTAATTTTGGTTCCTGAACATTTATCTGTAGGGCTAGAAGAATCATTGACTGTATGCATCATATAACAACAGAACTACTGACACAGACAAAACCCAAGCAAGTGATCTCTCTGTGATTGTTGCCTTCAAATACCAGGCAATGACAATTTTTTAATAACCTGAGTATTACTAACACCGATAGTAAAGGTGCTTAAGTCATTCAACTGCACCAGAAGCTCCATCTCAATGAAGGTGTTTGTGGAGGCAGTTGTTGGCTTGAGCCTGCAGGAGTTGTGTGAGGGCAGCACTGTCAGGCAGCAGTCGCGTGACTGAGGCAACATCTCCAGCTGCTCTCACCTGCTTCTGGAACACCAGCATGTCGTTTTCTGCACATGAAGGCAGGAGCCCTCACAGAAGATATCAAGGAGGCTGCCTCCTGTTTCCCTCTCAGCTCATCCTGAGCATGGTAAAGAAAGCAGAACCCCCAGCAGCTGCTCCCCTGCACAGGTTCACTCCAGTTCCACATGCAGGCAAGACATGCTTGCTGGCACTTCCTCTGCATCATCCAGCTCCAGGTGGAAGGTGTGCCCCTGAGGCCTTTTCAGGGCACAAGCAGGAGGTAGAGAACATTTTCCCCATGGTCACTCCACCTTTTGTAGGTGCAGGCCACTCCAATGACCCTCTGCAGCTGGGGTGTGAAGCTGCAGGAGCTGGGTCTGTGACAGGTCCAAAGAAGACCATCCACCAGCCCTTCTACTAGGTAGCATTTGTCAGCCATGTATGGTGCTACTGGGTGCTCTCTGGAAGCATTACATGTCTCCTCAGGTGTTATGGCCTGAACACATCAAGCATTTAGAATTCCTGTGTGGAGACGGAGGATGATCCTTGGGGGTCCCTGCCAAATTGGCATTTCCTATGAAATAAAGAACCCTGACTTTGGCCACTCCAGTATCCTTGGACTGTGCTTCTGCTCCCAGCCCTCCAACCACAAGGGACATCTGATGGCATCCTCCCCTTACATACCAATTTGGAACACCTCAAAATATTCTCAATAAAGGGGTGAACTAACATCATTTACAGACCAAGTTTCTCATGTTACTGCACAGAGACAGTCCAAATGAAAATAAGATGACAGAGAGAAATACTCACTGTGTCAACTACAAACCAATATGGGTAGTTGTTACATGGTGTTCATTAAATGACTGGGATAGTACTGCTGCTGATTAAAGAAAACTGTTTCCTTACACAACAGGTAACCAAAGATGTATCACTAATTTACCCACTTTTGCACTTTCTGTTCTGCCAATCAACACAGTGCCTGTGTCTCCCACTGCATTTTTGCATTTAAAAAGGAAAAAAAATACAGAATCATGCCTCAAAAAGATGAAAATTAAGGATGCTTTCATGCATCAAAGATTCTTTCAGCAGAGGATGGTGTCACGATAGGACATGACTGCCATTTGCAATGAGGCAACAGTGCTTCATCATGGCAGGGACCACTGAAGGCAGAAAAGAATGATCCCAAAACCTCTGTAAATTTTACATTTGGGGGCTATGGGAAGAAGAAATTACAGTTTAGAGATACTAGATTTAGGATTGCCACCTGTATAATCTCTACAGGTAAGTTTGCTTCCTGCCAGGGACAAACATCAGAGACATCAATAATAGGTTAATCAGGCCTGATAAACAGGTTGACTACTACCCACTCCTTCTCATTCAAATTGGGTCCCAGATGGTTGTTGTAAGGAAACAACAAAACATTAAAAGAGACTTTACATCCCTTGGAAGGACAGTGAAGGAAATAGGAATGTAAGCAATGTTTCTCCTCTGCCCTCTCATTTGGAGGCTGGGACCCAAGAAGAAGGAAGAATATAGGTCGGGTAAATGACTAGCTGCATAACTGGTGTCACAGTCAGAGATTCAGTTTCTACAATCTTGGACAGGCCTCTGAAAGACCAAAAACGTGAGCATGAGACAGGACAAAAATTGAACAGGAAGGACAAGAATATTCTGAAAGCCAGCTGGACTGATTAATAGAGCTTTAAAGTAGATTTGATGAGAGAAGGGGACGGAATTCTATGTGAGCGAGAAGGGAATGTTGTCACTTTAGGAAACAGTGGGGGAAAAAAACTCAGAATTGTCTCAAGGGATCTGATGGGGGCTCCTCTGAGAAGGTAATACTGCTGACAGCCTGTCTTAAGTGCATTTACATGCAGCCTGGAAAATAAGCAGGAAGAGCTGGGAGCCACAGCACAACTAGAACACTACGATCTAACTGTGATTACAGAAACATGGTGGGATGATTCCCATGATTGAAGAATAGTAATCAAGGGCTACAAGATTTTCAGAAGAGAAAGACAGAGAAAGAGGGTCAAGGGAATTGATGTCTATGTAAAAAAAATGGATGGAGTGCAAAAATCTACCTTTGAGAAACTGTCATGAGCAAGTTGTGAGTTTGTGGGTGAAAATGAGGGATGAGACCAATAAAGAACAGCTGGCAACCAGAGTCTACCACATGCCAGCTGAGCAAGGGGAGCCTGTGGATGAGCCTTCTTGCTTCATGCCAGGCTGCAAACAATCCAGGACATTCCTGGAATGCATTGAGGACAACTTCCTGGTCCACATATTAGACCAACCAGAAGAGAGGTGTTACTGGAACTGGGGCTATCACCAGTGCAGAGGAGCTCATTAAAGAGACTATGATTGAGGCTATATTGATTATGCTCCGGGAGAACAATTCACTGGGTGAAATCCCCTGGGAAGCTGTCCTTGCATAAAAAGGAGAGAAGGAGAACTGGCAACTCTTTAAGGATGCCTTTGTGAGAACACAAGAGCTCTCTGTCCCATGGTACAGGAAAACAAGCAGAGGAAGCTGGAAACTGGCATAGCTGAACAAGGACCCACTAGTCAAACTGAGAGAAAAGAAGGACATATGTAGGGAGTGGGAGCAAGGACGTGCAGCCTGGGAAGAATACAGGAATGCTGTCTGGAGAAGTAGAGGTGGGATCAGGAAAGCCAAGGTGCACAATGAACTGATTAGACAAGGGAAGTGAAAAACAACAAGAAGGGGTTCTACAGGTACATTGTTCAGAACAGACAGACCAAGGAGAGCATACCCCCTCTGATAAATGAGAAAACTGGCTAGAACAGACATGGAGAATATACGCAGAAGGATATGCAGAACAAAGCTTTCCCTCTGAGAGATCTGAAGATTTGAACACTTCTGAAGGCAATGACTTCAAGTAAAAGATAGCAATCACCACTCCTCATGACTGCTAAGCAGCATTTCCATAGAACTCAGCTCTGCATAATCATTCAAAGCAAATTATCAAAAAGACTGAACATGCTTAAGTTACAAGCAGTTCTTCAGCAGTTATCATGTTCTTCTGTGAATGTCAAAACAGACTAATGCAGTCTCACAATACAAAGTAAAACCAACTATCAAATGGAATAGATGGTAAAAGCAGTACTAGCCACCCCCTGCATAAAAAAAAATTGAAATAAACCATGTTCCTCTTCAGCTGAAACATGAGATGTGAAGAGTCAATGAATAGCCACAGTTTGTTTCTGACCAGAAAAATATTTTAAAATCTCAGTCTTACAGAACTGAAAAGACAGATTTTCTACTCTACATACCTTGTTTTGATTCCTGACCTTCCAGCTTGTCTTCTCGCAAAGAAGAAGTGGAGTCTATGCTGTTGTCCTGCCTGGAAGCAAAAGAAAAGACATTCCAATCTATGTTTTTCACAATGTAATGAGTACTTTTCAAAGAAACATTAACTAAAGATATTACATGGTGGTAAAGCACCCAGTTTTTCTAAGCATTTGAAAATGAGCTATCATTTGTTACATCTACTGAGCTGCAAGGATGAAGTAACTATTTTCAGTACACTGTTGTCTTGCACAATACCAATTCTCACTGATAGTGTCTCCCTAACCATAGTCAGAGTTAAATCACTTGAAAAACTATAGTTTCAGTTGCATTCAGATCATATTTACTCTCTTCATTTGAATTAAGAAGCTGTTTTCATTAAGTTATTGTCACCCTACCACCACCCACCTTTTCCGTAATACAGTATCACTTTTTCACTAAGGGCTGCTTCTTAAAAGGAAACGAAGCTCAATTGCTAAGTAGTATTCAATATACATGTTTGTTTCTTCAATTTACTGGTTTTTGCTGCAAAGTTACACATGCTTTATGCATGGGATAAGGAAGATACACTTGTGTGAAGCGTTCACATTCTTCACACATTCTGTACACATTCAGATAAAATGAAAATAGTGAAATATACAGAGAGAGAATGAAGGACTGCCCTCAACAAAGAACTCAAAATCACAGAAGTAGTTCAGTTGCCATGTTCATTGAGCATTTTGGCAGTAGAATTTTCTACCCTGAATGTCAGTGTGGCTTTGGTTTCAGACAAATGCAACCATTCCACCTGCTGGATCTAAACAGCACTACAGAAAAGACAGGAAGATTCTGGTATCATAGATTTAATTGTAATGACTTCAAAAACTTTTCAGTAATACCCTGTGGGTATTGGGGTATTACTACCCCAGTAGGCCTGTCCCATAATTGGAAAAAAAAAAAAAAAAACACCTGTTTTCCACATGCTCTCAAAGCTGTTTTTTCTCTCAGGTGTCCAGTGAGCAAGTCAAACAAAAAAGAGAGTGCCATAAAAATTCTTGCCAACACGGTCTGAGAGACTGTTATTTTGACAGCTGTTTCCTTTCCTATGTTAGTAGATGTTAAAAGTCAACAGATTCATTGCTTCTCCCTTGTTTTCTCCCAATGCAACTAAAATGTGTGTGGAATAGTGCAGTTACTAATTGGAACGTGCCTCTTTAAAAAAAAAAAAAAAAACAAAACAAAACTATAAAACACCTGAAGAAAGGCCTCTAAAAGTTCTGCATCTTAATTAAGAACCCATCAAAAGAAATTCACTGCTCAATGTCATTATAATAAAATAGGAAAAAATTATTTACCATGATACACGTCAGTAGTATGCATCCTTTAAGTTCACTTTCCTACTTAGTCAATGCAAAAAGTACTCTCCCAATCCTTCCACTTCCTCAGGCCTAAGCAAGGTTGGAAAAGACTCAATGCAAACTAGATGTTCAAATGTCAAACAGGAAGTTGAATATGCATGGCAATTCCTTTACAAAATAATTTAAACTTTGCCTCTTTACAAAGAAAGTTTGCTTATTTATTTTCTATCCAAGTCATCATCTCGTACCAGAAAAGCCACAGGTGCCATCACCAGCTAGACAAGGTAAGGTAAATGCAGGAATTCTACAAATAAATCAGGTTTGCTGTATGCAATGGTCTAGCAAGTCCACACATACTACTACGGGGAAAACAACCCTTCCAGCATCAGGTTCAGCCAGCAGCTCGGAACCTAAGCCTCACTGGCCCTCTGTTTTTTAAGGCCAGATGTTAGCACAGATCACCAGTTAAACTTGTCCAAGACACTATCACAGTGCACTTTCCCATAAATTCCAGGTTTTTGCTCTCCTACCACTTTCTGAACTCATCACACTCAACTCCTGATTGTGCTCTCTGTCCACCAGTTTACGCTTTTAACAGTAAGCTGCCATAAACACAAAGATCCAGTGAGAATAACAATGGCAAGCAGACAAACAACATGATCTACACAGAGGGATCATGTTGTTTGAATCACTTGTAGAGTATTCAGAGGAAAGCAACCAGACAATCTACCTGGTAAGAGTAGTAAGGGCACCTTGCAGCCTGCAGTGAGCTTCTGCCTGCAGCAGCAAGGAGTTCGTAGAGGTGGTTGGGGAAGAACATTTCAGGACTGTGTAAAACTTGGAGCAGCACATGTTTAAGGGGACTGTGCAGGCCATTTTACAATGTTTGGAGAAAAGATCAAAGGCAAGGAAAGAGAGAGATGAGGGAAGGTTGGACAAGAACAAGCACATAGAAAATAGAAAAGGAGGTGAAATGGGGCAGGTGATCATCAGTTGATTTCTGGGCAGTACATACATCTTGCACCTGATCAAGTCTGCTCTGCCCCCTTGCTGAATTCCAGTGCCAACCATTTTCCCAAATGACAGGAGTCCACTGTCTACATGTAACTGCCAGCAACTGCACGGAGCACTACACCTGACAAGTATCTGCAGAACTGTGCTGCCATAAAATATAATGACAAACATGCATACAGTACCTCAGGCTAGTCTAGCTATCAAATAGGATGAGATATTTGAGAGTCATAATACCAAAGAGACTGTAAGATTAAAGGCCAAATTCCTGAGAGAGAGACCAGAGCCTGCAAGCACTCAAACTGATGGCTCACAGCCCTGATAGAAACCCAAGAGATTAACAGCCTAAGATTTTGGTAGTGGGATAGCACAGGGTAGTGGGATAGCACAGGTCTGGATGAACTGCTCCAGTTCATCTGAAAAGTTCTCAGAACTGAAAATGCAAAGAGTGCTGAGCAGCAACAGAAGTGGGGCTGCAAACCTTGAAACTTGCAAGCAGCTAGAGGGACATGGGGATTGTTACAGGCCTGCCTCTGGAGGGATCCACTTCTTTTTTTAAAGCAACTCCCTACAGGTTCTTTTTCATTTTTTATTTTTTTTTTAATATTTAGTCACTCAGTTCCCAACCAAAATAAGGTTGTAATGTCCCCGTAACACCTGCTGGTCACTAAGAGCTGTTCACACTCCATCCTCCCTTGCACATTCTTCATTCTTTTGAACTATCTTGTCACCTCTCTACTGGAGAGCAATGTGTTAAGTGGAAAAGTCTGAGCTTGCACAAAAAGTGGGGAACAAAAGCAAGAGATTTCACATCCAATATCCCCCAGAGCTCTGAAGCCAAATTTCATTGAGGAATTAAGATCACTCATTTCTCAGAAAAGAGTGACCTCTATGGGTTTGAACAATTGCTTGAACTTACTTATATCCTTATAAGTATTACTTATATCCTTATATAACTTACTTATAAAAAGAAGTTATTAAATGGAAATCACACATCCAAAGCTGTTGAAATGTTTCTTCCTGTTGTCTCGACAGGACCACTGATTATGGCAGAAGCATATTCTTACACAGACTACTGTCAATAAAAAGCTCTGGATCCTTACAGTGCTTTCACAGTAAATTTTGTGTTGTTTTGTTTTGTTTTGTTTTTTTTTAATTTCCCAGAGTTGGCTGGACTGGACTGATAGTGAACAGTTTACTGTCTCATTTAATAGATAAGCATTCCACACCATTTTGTGGCCAGTCAGAATCAGTTCAGTTCACAGTTCAATTTCATTCTCAGTTGGTTAACCTTGCTTACATGGCTTATTTACAATATTTTGCCTAATAATCTATTCTGGGGCACATGTTTAAGGGCAGTGCAATATCATGCCTCCATTAATGTTAGCAGAGGATATGCTGATCTAAAAATAAGGCATAGCAAATAAATTTAAAATCCACTTCTTTCATGCACATTAGATTTTTCAAAGCAAAATACTGTTTGCTCACATTATACACATGAACATGAACAATCACTGTAAATTTTAGTAACATGTTTCTTTGGTTACTACGTTTTATTACTACTGTCAATAATTTAAATATTACATCTATTTTGCAGTAGTAAATATCTTTTGAATTAGATTTTTACAAAAACAAAACAAAACAAAAAAACCCCGTAACATTTCTTCAGACATCAAACTCCTGAACATTTTCAATGTTTTCTTTAGCCAACAAGGTTGTCTTTCCATTTAATTCCAAAGTTCACCGGAAAAACATAAATCATCAGTAAAGAGATAAATACATTTGAATTACTTACATAAATTCTATTTTCACAGTTAATATTTTCAGTAACCAGCAGAGGGTTAAAGACCAAAAGATAAAAATAGTCTCACTAAAGGAGTGAACTGACAGCATTCACAAACCATGTGAAAACAGCAAAGCAGGGAACACAGTCTCAAATCAGTTCCAAATAGAACTTCAGATGAAACAGATTTATGAAATATTAAATCACAGGAGAAATACTGGAAATTCACTTCTCTCACTCAATTTTCTAAAAAACTGATGTGTGATGAAATACGATCAAAAGAAACAACCTTAATGACTTTATAACTTGTTCTGAACAAAAATGTGAACCTTCTGTTGAACCAAAATTACTGACTAGACCTGGAATTTAAAGTATTATAATTATCTTTCCCAAATCTGTTTCTATTCAGTAAATTTGGATGAACTTACTAAACCAGCAACTAACAAGTACCTTAACAAGCAGACACTAGTATTAAGACCACAGTGTTTCAAGGCACTTATTAAGGTTGTGTACTGAATGTGTGGACCATCTTTACAAAGATGATCAGGGCGCTGCAGCACCTCCCATATGAAGACCAACTGAGGGAGCTGGGCTTGTTCAGCCTGGAGAAAAGAAGGCTGCAGGGTGACCTCATTGCAGCCTTTCAGTACCTAAAGGGAGCCTACAAACAGGAGGGGAATCAACACTTTGAAAGGGTTGATAACTGCAGGACAAGGGGAAATGGTTTTAAGTTGAGGGAGGGAAGATTTAGGTTGGATGTCAGGGGGAAATTCTTTACAGAGAGAGAGTGGTGAGGTGCTGGCACAGGCTGCCCAGAGAGTTGTGGATGCCCCATCCCTGGAGGTGTTCAAGGCCAGGTTGGATGGGGCCCTGGGCAGCCTGGTCTAGCATTAAATGGGGAGGTTGGTGGCCCTGCCTGTGGCAGGGAGGTTGGAGATTCATGATCCTTGAGGTCCCTTCCAACTCTGGCCATTCTGTGATTCTGTGACCAGCTGCAAACAAGTCAGCAATCAAAACAGAAAATCTTCTAGCTTTCCTACATGCTTACTGTACTGTATCGTTGTATCTTCTACAGATTCCTATGGACTTAGATTCCTAGAATTTGATACATTGTGGGTACATTGTGGGTACACTAACACTCTTTTCCCCTTGACTACTTTTTTTTAGAAATTGTCAGACAGAGGTTACTCTTTCAATGTAGAAGTCACTTAGTAACATACTATGCAAGACTTGCGTCCTTAAAAACAAAGAAGTATTTTTTTTTTAAAGTTAAAAACCAACAAACAAAAAAGAATGGCCTTTGCAAAAGCGCAGATGCCAGCCTAAGAATGAGCAACTACAAACATCAGTACTTGAAACTCCAGACATTATGCTACATCCTCAACAGGAACACAGGAACTGTTAAGTGTCAGGGTCGCTCCAACTGGGAGAGGAATGAAGGACCAGAAATAAGGATGGAAGGAAAGCAATACATGTCAGCCCAAAAACTCTTTACAAGAAGTTCACGGATTTCAGTGGGAAGGGTTATTCAATCCACTGTAGTTCAACTGAAGAATGTTAACATGAATCACACAATCTCACTTTTGCAGCATATGTTCAGTTATCACAACTGAACTGATGGGAAGTAATGCCAGTGTGGAACTCATTTATCTAACATTATCAAAACACGTTTGGATGCGTAATGCTTGCTAGCACTAACAGCTCACTGCCATTTTACCAAAGTAATTATATAATTAAGGTTAAATCAATTGAATCTCTAAACACTACATTTGATCACTCTTCGTGAAAAAATCCCAATTTTGCTTACAGTATTTCTAAATTAAGTTTTGAACTGTTTTCTTTTACTCACTGACTGACTGATTCACCTCCAGTCTTGTCTTCTCCATCACCATCCTCGTCAGTATCAGAATCAGCTCCACTCTTGCCTAGATATACACAATTTCAAACATGCAAGTTTAGGCACCTAGCACAATTAATGCTATATAGTAACTTTAACTTTAATTATCTCTACTGAAATCTGAAACAGTTGTTCTAAAGTCAGACATGGACAGAAACAAAAAGCTTATTCACAGGACATCTGCTAACACATGATTAACATTTTTCAGTTACACATTTTTCAGTACCACAATATGATAGGCAATAAGAATAAAGCACAGGAGACATAAGTAGTACAAGGTACTCTCTACTGTTCAGGATTCAACTGTTCCACTTGATTGAGAAGACAATAACAATAAATTCTGGAGACCTTAGAAACTAAGAGGAAATCCAGGAAGATACTGAAACACTGCAACATCATACCCGTAATAAAAATGTATGAACTGTGTGTCTCAGCAGAGCAGAGACACGCACCAAGAATTCTTTAACTACCCTGAATAATCTAGTGCAACTGTTAATAGTGTTGATCTGGTATTGTGGAATACAAGACTTCCCTTGCAGAGAACTAGGAGGTAACTTAACATTAGTTTACCCAAAGTAATGGACTCCAAACAGTTCTTCCGAATTCCTGGCTTTGCTTCATCACATTCAAGCCAAAACTTTTGTTCTTAGTTTGGGTACTATGGAAAGGAACATTACACAGTCATTTTTGAACATGTCCCTAACACCTTCAGAATTACTGGATGTTTTTACCCAGGATTAAAAGGTCAAGACTAGCATATACATACATATATTTATACATACATAGCAGTACCTGGAAACACAGGCGCAGTTAAAGGCAGACTACTTTTGCTTTCCTTATGCTCTGTGTACAGTGGTGCCTAAAAGTTTCATTCATACCTTCAAGTATCTTCAACAGTTTTTTTTCAGACAACATCTCCAACTGCTCCAAGCAAAGCCTTTTGATTTCATCCATGGAACAGCTCTAAGAAGACAGACAGACAGACAGGCCACAGGCTAGTAAACATTTCTGAGGAAAGAATAATTACAAACGCTAAGTAGATCTCCAGCCCTACATAGTAATTCAGAATCTATTCACTGTTCTAACTTGCTCTGATGTTACTACTGAAAAACATTAGGTAGCTGATTTTGGTGTAACAACCACCAAAAACAGTCGAGGATTTTCAGTTCATTTGTGTTTTGCTCAAAAAAAAAAAAAAAAAGCAATACACAGTATTAGTTACTTGATTGTTGGGACCTCTCACTGCAGCTGTAACACTAATCAGTACAAATGAGACAGAGGTTTCAAGCACGGAAGAACAAACTGACTGCAGCCCAGATCATCGGTATTTTTCTGTCATTCAGGAGGAGGTGAACTACATAATTAAGCCTGCAAAAACCAAAGTCAACTGTTGAGTCCAAGTTCACAAATGGAAGTCAACAATGGTACTGACAAAGCACCAAGAGGAATTACGTATCACGGTTTAGCATAAAAATGAAGCCATAAAAATACATAAATTGTGATTCATTTCTCATGCTTGATATCACACATTTATTTAGCCTATGGATATTCCAGCTACTTCCACATATTTTGTATTTCTTGGTGTCCTCAAGGTGAAATGATAATTTTGCATTTCTAAATGAACTACAACGCCATTTACACGTACAAAAATTGATCAGTGCTGAACATCTGATCTAACACACGATTTTACTGTCACTTTCATCCCAACACTACTGTGTAATTTCTTTTCCACATCAGTTATGCCTTTGCCTCTAACAACACTACTCCATTTCTCTCAGATAAGAAATGAGTTACACTGCATGCAATTTACTGAGCTTAAAACGTCTGTCCTGCCTCACTTATACCAATATAGACTTATAGATTAAAATAAAAAAATAAGACAAAAATTGGAAACCTATTAGTTAACACTAAACTAAAACAGCACAAAAACAGCACTTCACTTGGAGCCTTCCTCTCTGTACAGACTGCTTTTGTACTTTCACCAAGTCCTGCTCTTCACAACAGTCAAAAAGCATTCTAAGTCAATAAAATACTACAGGTACTCCTATTAAACCCCAGAAAAGTAACAGCTTCGAGAAGCTGTTTAACTAGAAAGGATTTTATTATTTTAAGAAACTTGGATAGCTCAAACGCAAATCAAGCTTTTATTAACACATCAGAATACTTACCACTGAACATGACTGCACTCATTCCATGCAATTAGAACTCCTTTTACATATGAATAACAAGTACAGACAGGTGCTATAAAAATAGCTGCCCAGTTCAGTTACAGCAGCACGGAAAAAAAGAGTAAGCTGTGGAACAACCACATGAAACCTTTAAAAAGTCTCCCTTTTTAAGACTTGATGTAATCTTTATTTAAGAAATACATAGGCAAATTTTAAGCTGAAAGTCCACTACACCTGAGAAAGAAACGTGTTTTGCTACATGAGCATTCAAGCTTCTGCAAAGCACACACAAGAAGGCATTTCAGTACCTTTAAAATGTCAGGCAGCATCTTCTGTAGTTTCTTCTCCCCTATGACACAGAAACACTGCTGAAGCATTTCCTTCTTGTCTGCAATGTAGAAACTGACTGGTTTGAGAGACACGCTGAGATCTAATCCCCCTTCCTCTACATCACTGAGTTGCTCGGATTCTTCTGTTTTTTCTCCAGGTGGCACATTGCATTTTTCTTCCTGAAATCAAAAAGACAAGTACAGCTTTCACGTCTTCCAGAAACTCAACACTTCACCAGCGACAGTGACAGGTTTTTGCTTCACACTCGTAAGACATCTCGAAATGGAATTCTGAGTTTTCAAACACCGTTTTAACTTCGGGAGCATTACAAAAGATATTACCAAAAATTGCTGCGCTAAGCGAAACGGAGCAGCGCGGTGACAACACAAACAAAGAAACAAACCTCCCTTCCCACTAACTCACAGGCTGCCAAACAACTACAGGCATCTCCGCAAGGAAGGTCAGCCCGGACCTGCAACGAGACCACACGAGCCGCTCACCGAGGAGCCCCGTCACAGCGCGGAACGCCTCAGAGGAAGAAAGGCAAGGCGCGAATTCCCTCCCGCCCTCCATCTCTCCCGCTTTCTGCCCGTTACCTCCGGCGCGCCGCGACCGGACTCGGCGCTGCGCCGCTTCCTGTCGCCGCCCGCCGCTCCCTCAGGGCAGCAGGAGCGGGAGCGCCGCCGCTTCTTCTCCTTCCGGCCCGGCATGACCCCGCGCTCGCGCCCCGGGCGGCGGCGACGGTCGGAGCGCCCTGCCCCGGCCCGGCCCGGCCCGGCCCTGCCGCTTCCGCCGCGCAGCCCGCCCTTTCCGGGGTGCCGCTGCCCGCCCCGCTGCCTGAGCGCCTTCTCCTTCCGTTTCTCTGCGAGGGTTTTGGTGTCGGCGTGCCGAACGCCGGGCTGGATCTTTTAATGTACCTTTTCTTGTTATTTCCAGAGTGTGTTTATGAACAAATAACTTTCGGTCTGTGAAATCAGGGCAGTTTTCACGTAACAGAGAAAGACCACGGTAACAAAATCAAAACATGAGTATAGATTTCTTAGAATAGCGCTTGTACAAACAGCTACAGAATGCAACATGTGGAAGCTGGAGGGTCAAGAACAATTAAATACAGGCACCTGAAATACCGAAGTATTTCCTGAAGGTAGCATTCTAGGATGGATTCCTAGGGGTGGTTTGATCTATTGGTAAACTGTTTAAATCCCGTGTAATGCCATGATCTGTCTTGTACTTGTACCCACAATCGATCAGCAGTGAGAAACAGTGATGAAAGCCCTGATCAAGGCTGTTTGTGATTATATGTATCTGAAAATTCATCAGAATTGCAGCAGGATGCGTGCAGCTATGGAGCTGAGTATGTGTACTCATCTGACAAACAAGTTTGCTGGAAACACAACGCAGTTGAGCTGAGATGGAGCAGAAAAAGTGAGAGCTCTTGGTCACAAAATCTGGCATAGATGATGCAGACATGTATTGCAATGAAGAACTCCTGTGCTGGAAAAACTTGACCTTTTTTAATGATTTCCATTCTGGTAATATAATTACTTATTTTAAAGTCACACTGAACTTTGGCCATCCTAGCTCTAAACAACAGTGGCACATGTGTGGGAGTTCTGCAGTTTTTCATTCCCCAGCAGGCACAGGGTAACAGAACTAACACTAGGATCTGTGAAGCTGATTAGGAGCCTGACAAATTTCCTGTACAAGGAAAGGCAGAGAGATGGTTCTCTTCACCCTGGAGGAGATAAGACCGAGGAAAGATCCTATCACTGCTTACAAATATCTAAAGGGCAGATGCATAAGAGTTTTGGGGACAGGCTCTTTTCATAGGTGAGCAGTGGTAGATTAAGGAGCAACAAGAAAATGTTGGAAAGCAAGATTTCCACACAAACACAAGGAGGAACTTGTAAATTCCCCTTTTCAAAGACACCACAGTGATTTTTATGAAATCACTTCATAAAATTTGACTTCACTGGTTTCTGCTATTGCCTGTCACACTGCTTGCATTTAAGTTCCTCCCGCATTCCCTTAAAATAGTCTCATTTTCTTTTTTATCATCTAATGCATTCTAACATATTTCGAAGTAAGAGTTTTGCTATAAATCAGTAGAAAAGTTAATCTAAGAAGCTTGTTTAAGCAATTTTGTAAACTGAAAAAAATTTACCACTGAAGCACTGTCTATATAGCAGTTCAAGATTCCACTCTTCAAAAAATCACTTAATTCTATATTTAAAAAAAAAAAAAACCACACGAGATAGAAGATACCCAAGTTTTAAAAGAAGTGGAAAAGTGGAAAAAAGATGCTGGAAATCATGTGCATGTCACTTCCTTACTATCATATTTGACCAGTTAGTATAGTCAGTGTTAATTAACAAGTTGGTGAAAAGCACTTTTCAACAGACCATCTATCAACAGGACCCTTTCTCTGCTGGCAAACAGCATGGTCAAGAAACAGTCATTGCACTGAAATGTGGAAACATGGTCGGGTGAGCAAGGGAGCTGGCATCTCTGGATCACAACCATCTCTTACATTACATTTCTGTCTAGATAATGTTTAAGGAATGAGACTTTTTGACTTGGTGATCTACTTTGATCTGAGCTACAACAGAAGGGCTTTCTGAAACAGCTCTGCATAGTAGACTTCAGAAAAGTAGTCAAGGGAAGAGAGTGAAAAGTTTTATTTGCTCCGTACTTCACAATAAATCAAGTTTAAGTCATCCACAGTATTTTCTCCATTATATTCTGTCACAAAATATGAACAAAAGCATACGTTCTTCTGTATACGGTGTGTTGCTCAAGTGCTAAGTAAAACAATTACAACAGATTAAGAACAAACCTACAGCATTCCTTTACTTTAGCTGGTTCTGACACAGACACATACTTCTTTATTTGAGAGTCAACTCCAAGAGACTTAGCTAATTGCACAGCATTTTTATCATCACTGATTAGTGTTCCCAGAGCCACAAGGAGTCTAAAAACAGCTTCAAGATCTTTAACAACTTCCATAACTGTGCTGATAACTGATAAACATTGAGCTTTGCCCTCAATGTTGTTCACTTTATGTAAACATACAGCATAGTTCAATGTCAGTGTTGCAAGTGCAATGTGGACATTCTTATTATTGCCTGATTTCACTTCTACTGCTTGTGTCATTATTTCATCCCTCTGTTCCATCAGGAGCTTCTGGCCTGCTTGGCTGACAAAGCAATTGCAAAGAGCTCTAAGTGCCAACAGCTGGTTTGCTGGTTTTCCTTGAGGGTTCAAAAATTTGAGGAGGAGATGGATAAATTGCACGTGAGCCTCTTCACCACAGAAGTTCTCATTCACAATGGGATGCCTGACAGACAATCTAAGAATGTCAAGGGCTGGGAAGACAATATCTAAGAAACAAGAAAAATATGTTTCAGTATTAAAATATTTGCATTAGGTGTGAACATGCTGGTGAGTTTGCTTCAGTAGCAGACACTTTTAAATCCCTAACTTTGGGAACACACTACATTTA